TGTGTTGTGGCTTTTGGTTGTGTTGTGGCTTATTGTGTTGTGTTGTTGCTTCTTTTGTTTTGTTGTGACACTTCTGGGCCACCGTACACACTGAAGCATGGAGGGAAACACGGATGGAAACATTCGAATGGAAACACTCGGAAGCAGGGCTTGAAGTGACCATGCTGGTTGACACTCAGGCCCAGACTGAACGGTGACAAGTCCTCATATACACGAGCCAGATGTGTGTGTGTAGACACAGCACACTGCAGGGAATAAGTCACAGAGGAGGACGCCCTCTGGTGGACGCCTGGAGGAGAACATAAACACAGGCCAAAAAACCCATTTCCTGACATTAGGATCTTTTTCTAGTTATTTTTTTTTTTGTCTTTTTGTGGTCTTTTTCGTCTTGTTGTTGTTGAATGTGTAACATGGGATGAGCATAGAAAACACAGTGTTTCACATTTATATTCATTTTACTCTTGAAAATAGTGCAAATATCAGGTTAAAATGTGAAGCTTTGTGGTCTAAGATTCTAAAAACGCCTCTGTATTCCAGAAAGAAAAAACAATATTGATAGATCTTGCAAAAATAATTAGATGTGATTATGTGCAAGCACAGATGTTGTGTACGGTGATGGAGCTGCAGTGTCGGTGGAGCCTGAGCTTTCTGCACTGCGCCGCTGCTCTGTCGCTTTTAGAGCCTCAGTCCGTCATCATGGAGGAGCAGCAGACGACCGGAGCCGAGTGAAGAGGACAAACCGCTGCTGAACATCCCGCCTCCGTTCCTTCACCATCACCTCGCATCGGTAAGAGAAAAGGAAAAAAAAACACCGTGTCCGTTTTCCTGCATGTGAAAACTCCACTGTGTGTTGCTGCGGATTATTCAGCGTTTGCGCGTCGGTTTACTAATCAGACCGGAGAGCTTATTCTCCGGGCGTCTATTAGGGCGAAAGCAGCTCAAGAACCGGTTCGTGTGGGTGTTTTTTTGTTTGTTTGTTTGTTTTTTACTCCACTGTGCTGAATTTAGCCCGACCAGAAGCCGCAGGGAGCCGGGGCTCTGCTGCAGTAGGTTTAGGTTCAGCACCGTGGACAGCTCCGGAGATTCGGGCCCGATTTGGAGCGCGTCCGTCGGCCGCAGCGCAGCCACTGACATCCCGTGTGTTTGCAGGTGATCAGTCCGCCGAAGCAGCTCCGGAGACACCTGAGGAGGAACCGCACGCCAACATGAAGCATTTTCTGAGGTAAGATGCTGCTAAGATGGAGGCAGAGCTGGATCTATTTTTTATATCACAACGTGAGGGAATTCACTGTAGATTGAGCCTCCTCCTCCTCTGCCTGGGCTGCTTTTACTTATTTATACCGAACATTGGGCTCGTTTATTCCCAGTTCTCCCAGTGAAGTTCTCCGCCATCGATTCTGATATGTAGTACCCAGTAAGTGGCTGTGGATGGGATTGAATGGGAGGCCTGTTAATTATGGAGCACATGTAAACCAGCAGCACTCTAGAGGTTTTTCTATTAATAGGCTCTTTTCTGCACATGTGTATTTTAAAAATGTATGTCAGGACAAATAAAAAATGGTCACATTAACACTGTTGTAATTGTAATGTGTTGTGTAGTTGTAGTGACTAGCACATTTGTTAGGCTTTTAAGTTGTAAGACTTTATTATTATTGCAGTTTTCATTTAAAAAAAATATAACACACAATGCTTCACAGAACAAAGAATACAATAATTAATAAATTAAAAAATGAGCCCATAAAACATGTTATTAATGAAGGACTCAATCAAAACAGAGACCAGAAAGCTACTATCATAAGTCAATACCAGATTTATACATTTGCAATGAGGAATCAGCAGAGGCAGGGTATTTCTTTTTTAAATAAAATGAAATAAAAATAATAAAATAATAAAATAATAGAAAAGCAAAGTGGTAGAAGGCAAATAAGATGTATATGTAGTAAACAAATAAAGTGAAAGAAAGGGTGAATCCAGTCTGTGTGATTATAACATAGAAATACATGTAAAAATAGAATAGAAAAAAATAAAATAAAAATAAATAAAGAGTCCAAAAGGAACAACAAAAAAGAAAACTACAATGAAAATAAACAAAATTTAAGACCAGAAATAAAAATAAAAAAAAGAGGGGAACAAAAGGATTTAAAAAATTAAACTAATAAAATGAAAAGAAACTAAATCAAAAGAAGGAAAAATAAAATAAAAAGAATAAAACAAATACAACAAAAAGAAACAAAAATAAAAAAACAACAATAAATACAAGTAAAAGAACAAAAAGAACATGAAAAGAAATCACAAGGATAAAAAAAAAGACATGGAATGAAAATAATAAAACAAATACGATGAAAAGAAATGAAATTTTAAAAAGAATTAAAATATAAAATAAAAGAATAAAACAAAGGAATGAAATAAAATACTTCAAAACAGGAAACAGGATTTTAAGAATTTAATAAAAAGTGGACAGAACATAAAACTTGCAGTACAAAGCATGAATGATTAGTCCCCAATTTATTTGAATGAACCAAACTGACAGTCTGAGCGAGACTCTGGTTTGTTCCAGATCTGTGTTACATAAAAACTGTAAATCAGTCACCTGAGCGGTCTGAACAGTCGCAGCTGATCGGATACATTGCACCTCCAAACCATTAGATGCTTCATGAACCACCAGCAGCATTTTAAAATAAAATCCCAGCACATCCTCATCACAGACAACGCTCATAAATTTACTTTTATCTGCTGCTTTTTCCACAATATTAATTTTTAACCAGTCATTTTGTGTATAATTCTTCTAGCAGCGGTGGCCGTCCTCTGATTGGCCGAGGGCTCAGCGGGGCGGGTGGTGCGCCACCAGGTGTCCGCTGTTGGCCTTGTCCCTCAGCATTTAATTCATTTCCCATAACTCCCAGCTCCTTTCATCCCTATTGATAAGAGACTAAATCTGTTGGACGGCGTCTTTGAGTTTACTGTCTTCATTATGGTCTCAGAGATACTTTGCGTTGTTAACTTTTAATGAACAGTGGGGGCCGGCAGAGGCTGCCAATGTTTCCCACTGATGGCTCTGTTTGTTTACAGTAATTATACTAATGTGTTACAGTAGCTGTTGTAATAGTTTTCTGATGCAGAAATGATTCATGCAGTACCTTTAACGTTTTTTGGCTGATCAGAATGTTGAGGAGAACTTAAAGGGCCGACTCAGTGCTGCACCTTCCCACAGTTTGGGGGGATAACAAAAAGAGGTCGATATCAAAGCAGCGGAGGTGAACAAATCCTCAGGTTTTGTCTCCACAAACATTTAACTTCAATGCTACAGCACCCTCCTGCAAATACTCACCTTGGTGCCCATTTTTTAACATCTGTAGTTTGCAGAGTGTCACTTTGATTTAAAATTGAGTCACTTTTATTCCCATAGACCAACATCAGAAATGTGCCTCAAGCTGCTGTACAATCTGCAGAGCAGTGGTCAGCAGTGGTCAGCTCTCAGGTTCAGCAATGGGCCATTGTCGTAGGCAATTTCTTTTGCAGTTGCCATGGAGATGCAGGCCTATCGTGTTAGTTTGGTTGGTGTTTTTACTCACAGTCATCATTTATGAATAATCACGAACTGCTGATCCACACTAAACAGTGACCTGCTTCCTTTGGGTTTGAAGTTCTTGTTCACGTCATTAATATGTGATTTCAGGGTTTAAATATCGCAAAGCTCAGAGTGATGCTACATTTGAGCAGCAGATGCAATTATTTTTACGCTACAGTGGCTACACATTGCATTGTCTTTTATATCCAAAACACTAAAAGACACACAGAGCTCCCATTGATGTTTCTGAAAAGCTTTGACTTTGCCCTTTTTACTGGATAAAGCAGCTGGTTGCAGATTGGGTTTCTCCACTGTGTTAATGTGATTAGTTCTGAGGTGTGTCGAGGTGAGTTGATGAACAGAGCACAGGATGTCTGGGGAATTTAGAACTTCAAACTATCGATGGAAGGCAAATGACAGCACCTTTAAAGTCCATCAGTGAATACTTCAATTACAACATTTTTAAGGATTAATTATTAAGGTCAAGAATTTGATTTAAGCATAATTTGTTTCCTGACACGTGCTCTCTGTATATACAGTCCACATAGTCAAATATTTTGGCGTTGCCTACATAAAGACTTAGGCAGATGACGACATGTATGTTTCGCAGAAGTGAAAAAAAAAGAAGTTTCCTTTAGGCTTTGATTGTACAGCTTCATGGACAAACATGTTAACAGCTGCAGATGCCATAGACGTGTAGTTGTAGTAATACCAATCTGAGGACTATTTTCTCTGCATACACAATTGACTGGCATTTTAGAATTTTGTTTTGTTTTGAATTTTTGCACTACTATCCTTGTAGTTGTCATGCAGACCTCTCAATGTGTGTCACCCAGAATTTCTATCTGACTCTTGCTGACTTGGGAAGATTAACACAATTCTCATCATGTGATTTAGACTATGTGTTTTAAATACAAATGACTGATTATGGGTGTATGGATAGCTCACCTGGTGGAGCAGGAGATACATAAATTGGGCCTAAAAGTCCCCAGTGCAGCAGCCAAAGCAGGAATTGTTGCACATCATTCCTCCTTACTTGTCACTCTTCAGAAAATTTAAAATGTCCCAAAAATAATCTGAAAAAATAAAGTAAAAAAATGCAGGAATTAAGTTGCAACTCAAGACTCACCTCTTCTCCCTGGTGTTCAATTAGTGAAGAGCTTAACACCCTAATTTCACAGATGTATTTTTTTCACTAGTTTGTTTAGCTTTTCATTTTTCTTTTTATTCTTTTTTTTCAAGCCTCTGCAATACTTTAGCCAACTGCCGTTGTTTGAAATGTGCTGTGGAAATCAATTGTGAGGTTTTATAGATTTATTCATCTAAAGGACACATTTGAAATATCACATAAAGATTTTTGATACAAACTACACAGCAGAAAATTTCAGCTTTCATCAAGGAGCCAAACATTTCCATTTAGAGAACCAGATTTTGCACACAGGCTGGTATTTACCTCCACTGCTGCACAGAAACCAACACCCTCTGTCCTTAGACTTTCAATTTAGATGAGGAAAGCCCCCAAAAAGCAGCGGAGTTTGTCTTGTGGGTATGACAAAGCAACATAAAATTAACAGTATGGACGATCAAGATGAGATGTTTGTAGATTATCTCAGAGGTGTGGGAGACAGTGAACTCAGATTTATCCAAAATGACATTTATTACCTGTAAATCTCGCAAATGACAGAGTATGATTAAATTGGTTATCATGCTTTCTAAAATATCAGAAATGCAATGTATATAGCTGCAGTATGATACACTAACTCAACTGAAAATAGCATTTATGGAGACAAACTGACCTCTCTAACTGTAAATAAAACCATAATGTAAATAGTTTTAGCTTAAAAACATATAAAGAAGGTTCGAGTGGTGCTTGAAATCTTATTCAACAAGCAGAACGAATAGCCTGAGAGGGAAAACTCAGGTTTTAAAAGTCACTAATACACTCTTTGCTGCTATTAAAGCTTAAATGCAGAAAATAAAAAGAAAAGTCGGATATTTTTGAGTATCTCTTCTCCTGCTGCACCTGGATTTTAGCAGCTGGACAGTCAAAAGGCACAATTTGGAGATTTCTATGAAAAAATAAAACTGATGTGCAAAAAACATCAGATTTAGAAAATCCCATTCTCTTATTCCTAATCATGTCCTCAGGTTGTGTTATACACTTTTTTCGACCTCCTCTGAAGCTGCAAACACACTAAACAAGTGTTTTTACAGACTAAGCAGCGCTACTCAGTGGAGTGACCCTTTAAAATAAATTATCAGGCAGCAGGTTCAGTGTTCAAGGACGTTTTATTAGACAGTTTCGTGCATAAAAACCTTTAACTGTTTGGTTGCAGTATAACCTTTTACCATCCCCCTCTTTTGCTTTGCTTTCTTGAAGGTTAAGGAAATGACAGAGCGTCTGTATGAGCTGTTTACCATGCCAGGCTCATGCATGGGCCCGGAAAGACGAATTAATCCTCCTGGACTGTACTTGTCGTCTTTTGTTGACACAGAAGACGATGCTGTGCTTTGATCCTTCAGCATCAGACGGATTTATTTCTGCCTGGAAAGGCTGCAAACTCTATTCCACAAAAAAAAAAAAAAAAGCATGTGTGTGGCTTGCAGAGGGAGCTTTTCCAGGTTACTCACTGCGCAGGTGTGTTCTCTCTGCTCTGGCTGAGATAACGGATGGAAAAGGAAGACGGTTTATTGAAAATGAAGGATGTTTTCGGTGAAGCGGCGGAGGTTGGAAGTCATTTCAGCCTCCACAGTTTCTTAATGGGTCACAATGCATTTCCCAAGACGTTCCCATTGTCATTCTGAGCGTCACCTGCAGAAATAGCACACTTTCATCTGCTGCAAGTCTCCCCTGGTAGACAAGAAGTGAAGCACAGTCTTCAGAATGGCTTCCTTGTCTTCGTATCTTCTTCCCCGACTACCACTTTTCTTTCACTGTCATGCCTTTTATTTGTTCACTGCAATTTCTACATCTGGGTGCTTTCTCTCTGGAGCGATTTAAAAAAATGTTCAACATTTGACCTACTTTTATTCTGCAAAATTAGTGAGAAATTTGCAGGGTTTTTAGAGCAAGACATCCAATGTCTTGATTTAGGTTGAAATTACAGAGAGCTCAAGCACAGGAAGAAAAATCCCAGAGCTGCAAAACATCAGAAAAAGTCCATCACAGTATCCTAGAAGACCAAGAGATGCCATTAAATGTCTTGTTTTGTCATTTACTGACAGCCAAAACCCTCAAAATATGCAATTTGCAAACAAACATGACCAACTGATGAAGCAAATTCCTGCATTTGAGAACTGGAACCATTATTTCTGTGCTGATTTTGCTCAAAACATCACTCAAAAGATTTTTCTTTTAGTCAACTAAATGTTAAAGCTTCACATTTAGTTTATTTCAAACATTTAAAATCAACAAATTAGGAGATACTATCAACCACCAACTCTGAAAACTTGTCACGAGTAGCGTCTCTGTTGTAGGTCACAAACCAATACGCAGTATTCTGTAAATAATATGAGTGATCTGGGTGTGCATTTACCTGTTTGTGAGTGTAATCCCTTGTGTTTTCCTCCCCAGAGTGGTGACCCAGTTCTTCGTGTTCCTCTACTGTAAATTTCTGTGGCGAGGCCTTAAGTTCATTGTCAGGAAGTTCACGGGGCGCTGCGAGCTGCAGCGAATCTGCTACAACAACAAGCACGGAGCCCGCAGGACCCTCAAGATAGGTAGGTCTGCAAGCTGCTGGGCCTGTTTGGATAAAATGATGCTTATTTAGATCATTTGTGCAGAACAGAACCCTTCATTATCTATACACCGCTTAATCCTTACTAGGGTTGCAGGGTGCTGGAGCCTATCCCAGCTGACTTAGGGCGAAGGCAGAGGACACCCTGGACAGGTCGCCAGTCTATCACAGTGCTATACACTGAGACAGACAACCAAGCACACTCACATTTACACTTACAGACAATTTAGAATCAATTAACCTCAACATGTTTTTGGACTGTGGGAAGAAGCCAGAGAACCTGGAGAGAACCCACGCTGCACGGGGAGAACATGCAAACTCCACACAGAAAGTGTCCCCACTGGGACGCGAACCGACGACCTTCTTGCTGCGAAGCAACGCTGCTAACCACCAATCTACCTTGCAGCCCCAGAATGGAACCGACAATTTTAAATAAACTTTCCACTGATTGATTACTTTTGCACTTAACTTTTGTGTTGCTCATATTTGTCTTCTAGTTTCTAGTTTATTGTAGGTAATAAAATACAATAAAATTTCATGACTACATTGGTTTTGCATTAGTCACAATAAAACAAGGCTTCCTTCAAGCACTCGCCAACTGCATTGCCAAAAAATCCATTAGTGTAGCTCACGTCCAAGAGTGAGCTACATTTTGAAAGCAATGCAACCAGGAAAACAAACACCCACTCCCTTAAGAGGCCGACGAAGCAAGTTCAACACACTAACTTAGAATAATTTTAATTCAGGGTCACAGGGTGACTGTTCAAATAATAAATAATCAGATAATAAAAACTCAGTGTACAAAACCAAAATAAATATATTCTAGAGCGAATGAATGGTGCTGATTGTTGTGTCATTGTTTGCAGTTTTCTTACACTTTGCAAATTTTTCCTTCCAGAGTCATCTCTGAGATATTCCAAGAATGAGGTACAAGTCTCTGAATCGTTATGCACTGTAAAAAAAAAAAAAAAAAAAAAAGTTTTAAGTGTTTTTTTTTTTTTTTTTTTTTTTTGTTGTTTTTTTTTTTACTGGTAACAATTTACTGGTATTTTACAGATTTTCATAAAAAGAGACAGATAATATCTAGAAAAATAACAGAAATAAAGTATTTATTTACATTTTTCCCAATTATTCTGTGTGCTTATTTTATTTCAATTTTTTGTTTATTTTTGTTGGCTAGCACTTTGTAAAATTTGTTTTGAAAAGTGCTCTATAAATAAAGTTTATTATTATATATTATGTGTCACTCTATAAAAAAGAAGAGCAAAACTGTAAATAACCACAACATCAAAAATCTTGGTTATTATAATAAATTTTTCCATTCACATTATATAGCTGTAAAATTGCAGTTTTAATTTCTTTAAATCTGAAAAAAAAAATAACAAGTATTATACATTATTTGAAAGAAAAAATATGCATGTTAAGGATTGAAAAAATGATAAAGAATTTTTTAAGATTGTTGTTTCATAGATTTGTCATTTTGTTTTGTAATCTAATGTTAATATCTAGGGGGGGAAAAATCCCCCCAAAATATTTATTTACACATTGACTGTTAAATAGAAAAAGGCCAAAATTGTACATAATGTCCTCTTCAAAATCTATATTTTGACAAATAGGAATTAGTTCTTTTACATTGAGCAGCTATAAAATTGCAGTTTACTGTGTTTAAATTAGCTTAAAAATCATTATTTTAGATATATGTTATTTTCATAGTTTTTATAGTTTTTGAACATTACAGAATTATTAATTATTATTTTTTCATTTCTTTCATTTATTTTTAATAAATGCTTTTTATAGCGTGTTTAGTATCCATACGTCCAATATAAATGATGCATGTCCCTCTGGTTTCTAGCCTCAGTCTCTTCAACATATGTTCTCACTTTTTGTCTCTGGTCGTTGCCCTCCAGCTGCTGCAGTCTGCTCTCAGCGTCCATCCTGATAAAGTGGAGAAGACCATTGACGACATCATGGCCCTGAAGAAGATCAACCCTGACACCAACCCTCAGTGAGAATCCACACCTCAGAGCATGTTTCTGTCACTTTATCACTTCTGCTGGGCTATTTTGGTAAATTAGAGGTCAGGGGAGCATGTTCATCCTCCCAAGTGTCGGCATTTCAAATCCTCTGCTGAAGGTGTGACTGCAGAGAAGATTATATGCTGAATCTCTGACCAAACAATCACACACACACAAATTAAGAAAAGTGTGGGAGATTTTCAGTCCATGTGTTGATTTATTGCGCGAAACTCACAGCAACAAACTAAGATGGTCACAGACAGAATTAACTTAAATATCATATCATCACCTGATTCTCACTTCTTGTCATAAGCTGCATACACATCATGTTTAATTATCTTTGCAGGCTTTTCTTTGCATTCAAACTCCGTATGTAAATGTTATCGATATATTTTGTGATTTGACTGCTGACATGGTGGAACATCAAGATCAAAGCTTCATTTCAGACTTCACATACAGACCATCTTTTTCACAAATCACATACGGCCTTTTCTTATCTGCATATTTCATCAGTACAGTTTATCATTGTGGTTTTCACTCTCCTAGACTATTACCATCATTATATATTAGCTTCTATGACTGCTATTAAATACATGTAAGCACACTGAGAAAATGGCCTGCTTGGGCATTACAATGATTGTAATTTCCAGCAAATATCAACAACAGCGCAGGGGTCCGTTTCACAAAGCAGATTTAGTGAAAACTCTGAGTCTGTTCGCCCTGAAATGAGGGAAACTGAGTTTTCCATTTCACAAAGGGAGGTAACTCAAACCAGAGACAGAAGGGTAACTCTAGCCTGTTTCACAGGGAGAGCCAACTCAAGACCTCGGTCAGTTCCCGTAGTAACAGACTCCATGAACCTAAACTGTTCGAGACCAGGTTTTCATCTGACCTCGAGTTTCTCTCTGTCTTCGCCCTCTTTGAGCCACACACGCCATTTGATTTCCTCATTCAAACATTCATTCACTCAGCAGGCGAAGCCTTTGGCATAGCCTAGTTCTGCCGTCTCTCAAAAATCATTTAAAAAAAAATCGGAGTCAATAGGCTATAATAGAGGTCTATTAGACACAGGTGGCAACTTTTTCCACTAATATAGCATGTCCTTTTAATAACAATCCCGTGGAGAAAGGTGCAGCATTACTGCGCAGAGAATGAAATATTCAGTGGGAGATGGTTATCAGATGGTTATAGATGTTCTAGCATTTCCAGACAGTTCTCTTTTTGAGCGTCACAGACCATCATCTATACACAACCTAATCTGTCCTTGCATGTGCAGCATCACCAACCATAGTCATGCTCTCACATCTCAGCGGATATTGTGTTGCACTGCGTTTCAATTCATTTTTTTTTGTATTTAATTTTATTTGTATAGCTCAGTTTACAACATGTCATCTCACAGTGCCTAACATGGCAAGGTATAAACCTTACAAATTTGGACATACACCTGTCAGAGCCATCAAGGAGGAGTTCCACAGGATTGCAGGTGAATGATGTAGAGATCTGTTAAATTAATTTTAAATTATATTCTGTGAATGACATTATGCTGCAACCTCAGACTTGAGCAATGTTTTTATATTTCATCCAAAGCTGCTGCCAACTGCACTTCTCCCCCACGGGACTGCACCTAAATGAAATAAATTAATAGGTTACCATTCAAGCAGTTTTCCTGTAATATTATTGTGATTGCAAAGGACGACATTTAAGGTTTTGCATTGACCTGAGCAGCAATGTTCTCCACGCTGTCTCCCTCTGTTTTACAGCTGTAGCGGTGTTGCACTTTTTAAAAATGTGTTCAAACTCGCCGTATGAGCGCATTAAGATTTCCAGTTCTAGTGGGGTGAAAAACGCAGGCTTCCGCTTCCCCGTTGCCATGATGACTCATCGAATCGGGGCTCCATTGATGCTGGCTTTTCATAGTTGTGGTGCACGCGCCTAACTCCGGGTGAAACTACTCCGAGTCGATGAAACTAACTCAAATCCGCTGTTCTGGAACCGGAAACTCAGAGTAGATCAACTCAGAGTTCAGGATTATACTCAGAGTTTGTTGGACCTGCTTTGTGAAACGGACTCCAGGTATCTTCATAATCAGTCCTGAATTCTCTCAGACCAGCAGCCCCTCCTGTCCCTGTGTGTCCCCAGGTTGGGCATCTCCCTGCAGGCCAGTCTGCTGCAGATTGTGGGCTACAGGAGTTTGGTGGCCGAGGTGGAGAAGCTGCGCAGGGAGCCATACGACTGCGACAACTCTGAACACGAGGAAATGCTCATTAAGGTAAGCGGCTCACTGAGGCTGTTTGAAGATAAAAGTACTCAGTTACACGTATTTGTATTGAACCTGAGAGGTATTGTCTGCAATTGCGTCCAGCTGCCTTCAGAGCCAAACAAGTGATTCTGAACCGTTTAACCCCACAGTGCTTTCTGACGAACTGTACAGTTTATCGGATGTCTTATTCATTACTTTTAGTTGACAATTTAAATAAGTTACCCAGTAGTTTGTTTTATAAATTGCTCTAGATAACGGTTTGTTTATTAACTACAACAAACAAATATGGCCTTTACTGACATTTTATATTTAGTTTTTTTGGGGGGGTTTTTTTTGGATAGATTTGGCCAGTACTGACATGAATATTGATATATGTCTATTTACCTGCTTCACCCAGCAAATGAAGAGATTTGAAAGGAACATTTCCATAACAATGCAATCACAGCTATCTACTTTGAAGTCTGCATTAATTGTTACAGATCATATGTTGTCACATTTTAAATGGAGTGTGCTGCTTATTTAGCTAAATAATAAAAAATAGATTATATTGAAATTACAAAAACAAACTATTGATTTTATTCAACAAACTTTACTGTGGTTGAAAAAAATAAATAACTCTAAGCTGCCTGATCCTCTTTTTTCTTTCTTTCTTTCTTTTTTTTCTTTCTTTTTTTAACGTGTCCGGCTCAGCATCATAGCAAGCAGAACGATGATCTGGCTGCTGTGTTGTGCTGAACAAATTTGCTTTGCCAAGGGGAGCTTTATGAATATAAGGCCCCTCTTGATAGTCTTATTTATTTATTTATTTATTTAATTATTCATTCATTCATTCATTCATTTTGAATGCTTGCTATTGCTGAATTTAACATACTGCTGGACCTGATCGAAGGAAAAAGAAAACTGAATAGTTTACAGAAGTGAGAAGGAGACTAAAAGGAAAATAGAAGAAAACAAAGATACCACAAACTACCAACTGCTACACCTGGGGTCCGTTTCACAAAGCAGGTTTAGTGGCAACTCTGAGTCTGTTAACCCTGAAATGAGGGAAACTCTGAGTTTTCCGTTTCGCAAAGGGAGGTAACTCGAACCAGAGACCGAGGGCTAACTCAAGCCTGTTTCACAGAGAGAGCTAACTTAAGACCTCAGTCAGTTACCATAGTAACAGACTCTATGAACCTAACCTGGTCGGGACCAGGTTTTTCTTAGTGAACCTCGTGAACTCTCTCTATCTCCGCAATCTTTGAGCCACACACGCCATTTGATCTCCTCAGTCAGTCAGTCAGTCAGTCAGTCAGTCAGTCAGTCAGTCAGTCAGCAGGCGAGTTTTGGCGTAGCCTAGTTCTGCCGTCTCTCAAAAATCATTTTTAAAAAATCAAAGTCAGTAGTGTGTATTTAGAATTCCATTAGACACAGAGGGAGGTGACTTTTTCCACTAACATGTCCTTTTATTTACGATCCCATGGATGGAGGTGGGGGCTGCAGGGTGGCGCAGTTAGTAGCACTGTTGCCTCGCAGCAAGAAGGTTGCCGGTTCGCGTCCCGGTGGGGGCACCGGAATCTTTCTGCGTGGAGTTTGCATGTTCTCCCCGTGCAGCGTGGGTTCTCTCCGGGTTCTCCGGCTTCCTCCCACACAGTCCAAAAACATGTTGAGGTTAATTGATGATTCTAACTTGTCCGTAGGTGTGAATGTGAGTGTGCTTGGTTGTCTGTCTCTAAGTGTGGCCCTGCGATAGACTGGCGACCTGTCCCTGCCTTCGCCCTAAGTCGGCTGGGATAGGCTCCAGCCCCCCCCCGCGACCCTAATGAGGATTAAGTGGTGTATAGATAGATGGATGGAGGTGGAGCATTACTGTGCAGAGAATTAAATATTCGTCGGGAGATGGTTATCAGACCTCCATAGATGTTCCAGCATTTCCAGACATTTTCTTTTTGAGCGATACCGTTTCACGTCACAGTCCATCAGTGACGTGCTGTCAGGGAACAAAAAAAAATAATCTAATGATAAAATAGTTTAAAAGGTTATATTTATCCAGTGATGCTTTTTTTTTTTTTTTTTTTTTTTAAATTCAAAATCGCTGAATTTTCGCAATTTCCCATCCAAATGCTTGGAAGAGAAGCTGGTGAGGCAGCCGCAAACTGAACCTCACCTTGGATTGCACAATCCCTCGCTACCTGCGCTGGCTGCCTGCCGTGACATTGTGCTGCTGTCTGTATGTCACCAATAACATGGTTCAAACACATTTAATATATGAACTGATTTTCCATAGTTCAGCTGATGTATATAATACTGTACAGTGTTTATTGTTACCAACTGTATGTGTGTAACGTGCTTTGTGTACTGAGCAATCATAAACGGCTTGAGAAGAGGTTCCAGGTGAGGCCGACAGTTCTCTGGCCTCATGGCAGGGGGTGCTCTGATCCCAGACATGCTTCTTGTGACTCTGCAGCTGCAGAGTAAGTGACAGCAACTTAGCAGCTTACAAAAAAGTAGTGGATATTTTTGTTCAGAAGAAGCGTCAGAAAAAGGCAGGTTTATTACCGTTCAGGGTTCGGTATACAGAAGGTCAGTCAAATCAGGCAGACGTATCCAAAAATCGAGAGGCAAGGTCCAAAAACAGAAGCAAGGTCGTAACAAACAGACTATGACTATGACTTGGAAAACGTTGATACGAAGACTGTGAAAGTGCGACGAACTGGCGACGAGACAGTGAGACACACAGGGTAATATACACGAGGTAATCAGAATCAGAATCAGCTTTAATGGCCAAGTACGTACACAACATACAAGGAATTTGGTTTTGGCTGTTGGTGTCGCCCAAGGAATTTGCACGAATAATAGAAATAGGAAAATTAAAAAATAAAAATAAAATAAAGTAAAATAACTAAAGAAAGAAAGAATAAAATACAATAAATATTAATAAAAAATAAAAGATAATAAGACAAATATATACAAGAATTTACACATCTAGTAGAAAAGAAAAAGTATATGTACATTAGCGCAAAATGGAAGTGCAAATAGCAGTTGTGGCTTGGAGTGGCTCAGCTGTTCAGTAGGGTTATGGCAGTGGGATAAAAACTGTTTTTGTGTCTGGTGGTTTGAGTCTGCAGGACTCTGCATCGCCTGCCAGAGGGGAGGAGGGAGAACAGTTTGTGA